GACTACAGGGAATATTTAAAGAAGCACTGCATCTTCTGAGCACTTCACTATTTGCAAAGAAAGTATACAGTTAGTTAAAAGTGTATTGAATCCCTAACAATGAACTGTTCATTCTGCCACAAATCCTGCAAGCTCATACGTTTCTGTGCACTCTGTCTGTGCTGCACTGTTATCAGTTAGCATCCTTAATAGTTCTCTCTGGAAGTCACAGAACATCAATTCCTATGTTACAGATACAAAAAAAGGGGCTGGTTTGTAGTCCTAATGCGCTTCCTGTCCTGGGGTGGCAACGCTGCACCTCCATGTATACAGTACAGCAAGTTAGCATTGTCATCCTAAATGATAGTGTGTCTGGCAATATCATCATGTGAATATAAAGGGGGAAAAACCCCAACAAAATGAAAACATGTAGCCCCCACAATTAGGGATCATTAAGCTTCAAAATATAAAAGGTGTATTTTTGATTTTAGATTCTATATTATTTGATAGACCCTACAAACTGTATGTAAACAATAAATTAGTGTATACGTTAAGGCAGTTCAAATCACAAGGCTGTTGTGCAAATATTAGTAGGCAAAAGGTGCCAATTGGATGGCAAAGTGTATTTTCACTTTTTCAGTCAAATTTGAGAAAACCCCACTACATGTTTGTTGTGTGTTACCATTAACACAGCATACCTAAAAATAATTGTAAAAATATTTCTTATCTTTTAGATGTACTTTTTGACAGACTGCAAGCTACTCTGAACACTTCGTGAGTGAGTCTGTCCCCAAGACAAAGGGGGATAGAATGAGTTTGTTGTCATTACCATACAATGCAGAAGCCAGCCTCCTAGATCTTTAACATTTTGTTAAGGCAGACAGACAGTGTTCAAATCTAGTTTACAACTGATAATGAGATCTGCCAGCACAATACAGACAGGGTTAATTATGGTAACATTAATTGCTGTGCAAACTGTTGGCGCTATATAAATCATGTATAATATAATAATATGACATAACTCCCTAGCTCCCATTGCACAGCTAAAGTAAAAGTCAGTTTTGGAGTTTTCAGAAAAGAGAAAGTAAAATGGAAGCAACCTTTTTTTTTATTATTTATTATAGTTATGCTATGTAAATGGGAACATGCAACAAATTTTTTTAAAAATTGAGTTATTTAGATGCAAGAGTGAGAATACACTTAAAGACTACTATAGATACAGAAGATGAAGCCTAATCAGTTCTGTTTCATCACTGCATTCTACACATCATCATTGATCTTTCCACCGCCTTACGGCACAGGCCTGAAAGCCTGACTTTAGGCTAGCTCTTGCAAAAGAGATATATATGTTTTTTATAGTTACCAAAAATTGGAAATATTTGAACCCACAATTACAGTGAGCACGACGTTTTCAATTTAATAGAGCTGAACCAGAACGGATCCTAACTACAGGCACTTTATTGTTTAACAGTGCTCTCCAGTTGTGTGGCATACAGCAAAATATTATACTCCTCAAAGTCATCATATGGTTTTCTAAATAATCCCAAGAATACAAAATGCACTGATCATTATTTTAAATAAATTACAGTGTGTATAGACAAAATGATTGCTAGTTTCTTCTATAAACTCTGTAATTAGTTCTATAATATGACCAGTACATTAAAATGTAATTTACAGATTACACAATAATTTCTGTCATTATATTACACTTCCATCATTCATGATTCCTATTATTGTAGGTTATAATTACATTCTGAAGCACCACAAAGAGTCCAGAGTATAATACACAACAGAACAATAATAAATGATTGCAACATAGACACAATGCATAAAGTCAGGAAATAAGATCTCAAATACTTTCACCTAATGGCAACATTTCTCAACGCAACCTAAACAAGCTATTACATAAAAAACAGTGCATTAACCATATACTGTATAGTATAAAGATATTGATACAAGTATTTAAGATACAAATATGCAAATATAAAGAGAATAAAGGTACAAATATTAAATAGGCTATGACATTTAACTTGCAGACGGTACAAAAGTTGTACATATACTTGGTTCATGTGTTTAATGACCCTGTGTAAACAGATGTAAGCCTACTGAGTAGACATCAGTGCTCTCCATAGATGCTGCATCTCCATGAGATAAAGGTATTAAGAATATTATATTTATTTACAAAGTACACAGGTTAAAGTTGCAAAAAGAATATTTCTTAAGTTGACAGTACAGTAAGATATTGATGCACTGTCACCTGTGCATACAAGTGGAAGTGTCTCCTAATAGCCCATCAACTTACCCAAGTGGATTGCACTCACCAATTCACACTTCACCACTTCTTCTCCACTGCAGGAGTCCATCCTGGGTGAGCTCTGGGTTTTAGATGGTGTTGTTAGCCAATCATCAGGTCTGAAAACTTTCACATTCACCCAGATTAGCACTGTCATGTGGGGAGGACACATGCTTCCTCATACCTGGAAGCCCTGCTTAATTACAGCATGGGGGTGAGGGCTCCAACTGAGCAGTAAGGCAGCAAGGATGCACAGACCGATGAGTATACCTTGCTGGGGAGGGGTGCGATATTGGGAGGCAACACTTTGCCCTCAATGGCAGGTGAAAGTGTTTAACTATCAATATCCTGCTGTACTATCAATTTAACAATGTTTCTTTTGCAACTTTAACTTTTGTACGTTTTGAATAAATAAAGTATTGTTATTATTGTTATTATTATTATTATTAATATTATTATTAATAACAAGAATATAGACTATTCTTCTTTCCCTACTGTATGTTTTGGGCATTTTTCATTATCCTAAAGGATAGGGAAACTTTCCCACAACGTTTTTCACCCTGTTGCACCCACCCCCTAAACTGCTATATGTACCTAGATCTTAGAGGTCATGGTATTTGATTACATCTCTCCACAGGCTTTTTGATCCAACAACCGCACTTGCGCAGTTTGTTGGTTGGGGCTGGTAGACGGATAGGTGCTAGTCCATCTACGAGCCTCATAAAAGCTTATGAAGCTGAACTGCATAGGTGTCAGATGTCAGATCAAGAAGTCAGTGGAGGGATGTAAACAATGCCTGTAAGCCTCAGAGTGAGCTCTAGGTGAGTATATCAACATGGGTGGTGGCAGTGGGCTAGACCTACTTGGGGAGTGTTGCCAAAAAAACTAAAGAAACTTTATGGGAAAGTTTCCTTACCCTTCAGGAAAATAAAAAACACCCAATTCATACAGATGGACAAGAAGAATAGTCTATATTGTCAAGCTGCAGTCTTGCAAAATATAATACAATACTTCTACAAGAACACATATATCAATTCATTTTAAAAGCATCACCTCTATCAATACTCAAAAGAACTAGTGTATAAAAACCAAGGCCCTGTTTTGGGAAACAGATAATAGTAAAAACAAAAACTCTAGCCCAGGAAACTGAATATCTGAAAAATGCAAATACACTTTAGTATTTTGAATTATGATGATCTGGTTTCTCACATTCATCATTGTGAAATTAGAGAAGTGCATGATGTGTCACCAAAGAGTTTGATGCTGAGGAAATAAGGAAGCCTTGGCCAACACCTGTAGCCGGCTTTTCCATTATTTCATGTCCTTAGCATGCTCTGCCAACAAACAGGATGCATCCCAAATACAGTTACAACAAAACAAATCCATTGAGGCAAGTGCAGAGCCAAGAAAATTTCTTTGGTTGCACACATACAGTTGTCTGGAATCCATGTTTCAACAAGTGGATGAACATAATTGTGTACAGTGCCCTAAACGCAGATGTTTATTCTGCTAACAAAAACAATAACAGCTGGTGGAATCGGAAAAGTGTGGTCAAAACATGATGCAAATCACATTCAGTATCAATGGCAAACAAACACTACAATTTAAGCTTATAAGCTGTACTCGGTCAGTTCCTAGAATACTTCAGAGGCAAGAAAAGTCAATGTCACACTTATGGCATTGGTAGATGTCAAAATAAGATATCATGAAATGTGTTGCAAAGTACTTTGCTTGCACAAATGACTAGAATATAGTCTAATTACAAGTATAAGGAGCACAGATCTTCTAAATCACATATCAACTGATCTTTCTGCAAAATAACCTTGAACAATGTATTCAAATCTTTCAAAACTACTAGCACAAGCCAGGCAAGCTCGCCAGCAACCTTAAATATCTCTGCAAGTTGGCTTGTACAGTATCAATCAAAATGACTAGACACATAAAACAAATCTGGAAAGTTTACAGGCCAGTGACATTTTTTTTCTAGTTGATTATTGCAGCAGAGGTATAAACAAAACAGACAGAAGCCATCAAAGAGCAAACAAAGCAATATTTTCTACCAGTTCAGCCCTTTTAGAAGGAAAACACTTCAATCTGCAATTGTTTTCTAATCAGCTACAAACAGAACAAGAAAAAGAAACAAAACACATCCGAAGAGGGAAAATATTATCAATTTTTCTTGTTAAAGCGCTGCAGGTGTCCGAGTCTCATCCATAAAAACAAGCTTTTGCCAGCAAGCAGAATAAAATCACTTTTGCACAGACAATAGCAGGACAAGCCTTTAATACAGGACGTCAGCAGGGAGGATTTGATTTTCTCATTAACCCCTCCAGCAAGAATGGGAGTGCTGGCTGTACCAGGCTTGGGTAGCATGGATATTTTATTGATAAATACAGTACACAGAAATGCATGGGAATCAAGTCTCGCTGAGGAGCATTATGTCTTTCCAAACAATGCGCTGGTAACACCACCACTCCCAGATCACAGGGGGAAAAAAGCACAGGGAAAATAAAAAGAAAATTGGATCTAGATGTCAGCCACAACAGTTAACCAGTTAATCACATCCAGGTAGGAATCCATGCTATGCCTACTTCACAGACACTTCATTTCCATATTCCTAGCTATGCTGTGAGAAATTAACCTCTTCCTCGCTGGAGGGCTGAGTGAGACCTGCTGACAGCTGGCACTGTCACTCCATCATCATCATCATCATCACAAACCCTATGCTTCAAAAGTCACAAAGCTGGCCATTGCAAATCCATCAATGATGTCTTCTTCAGCCGAAGAGGACTCTTTCCTTTTTCTCCTGGGGGGCTTTGGTCTGGACAAGGAAGAAGCAGCCGGGTTCCCATTGTCTTCTCTTTCAGATCCAGAAGAAGAAATCAAAGAACCAGTCCTGGCAACCCCTAATCCTCCGTTGGACCTCACCTCCCTATCCCTTTGGGATTTGGATCTCCTCTTCTTGCGAAACCCATTGCACCGTGGGCCATCCATTGCACCCACACTAGCAGCAGCAGCAGCACAGGCAGCAAGCAGCAGCAGCACAGGCAGCAGCACAGACACCAGCAACCACCCCTCTCCCCTTCCCCACCTCCTCCCCTCTTGATTCAAAAGAAATAATCAAATAAAACCCACCACGGTCTGCAAAAAAAAGACCAAAATGAAGGCAGAAGGAACCCAAGAATTTTTTTGAGTGTGATTCCACCACACATATACAAAAATATATGTATATAGGCAATGCAACAAGAAATTCCTATAAGGCTGCAGGGGAAAGTAATGGCTGATAATAACACCACTCCAAAAAATAAAATACAAAAATCACCAAAAAGGCAAGAAATCGCTTTGATTACGTCTGGAGATTAAATCCCCCTTCCTTTAAAAAATCATGGATGTTTCCACCTTGGTTTATTTCCTGCACGCATTTAACTCTTTGTTACAGTTGATGCTTCTTCTGGGTTTTTTTTATTCCACAACTCCATGGCTTAGCCCTTGGACGATCTCCTCCTCCTGTTTAGTAAGGAAGTTCCAATGTAGAGGATGGCCCCCCTTTCCTTCTCTTCTTCTTCTTCTTCTTCCCTCCTCAGTGACAGATGCATCCAGACTAGGCAGACAGAGGAGGGGCAGGAGACTGGGTGGGAGAAGCAGAGAAGTGCAGGAAGAAGAGAAAGCAGCAACACACACACACTCGCACAATGCAAGTGACAGCTGACGCTGGATGCCGGGCGCTGTGCTGTGCCCGTTCCTACTTCCAGCGGAGCCTGCTACACGGGAGGTCAGGGCGATGCTCGGTCTCTTGTCTCTCCCAGGCCGGATCACTTGTGTGGAGAAGAGAGGAGGGGGCTCGCTCGCTGTACAGCCCAGCCTTCCCTCCGCTCTCCGCTAAGCGTCATCCACAACTTTTAGCCGCTTTAACCCAGCCGCCTCAGCAGCATCCCTCTGGTACACACAGACATTCAGCATCCAGAGAGACACGTGCAGAGGAAAAGAGGAGCGATCCCATCATCATCCCTTCTATGGATGGCTCAGAGGAGTGCCAGCTCTTGTGTCTACTGCTGCTGCTTGATGCTTCCTGTACCTGGCACCTTGAAAAACTTCATCATTCCAGATGCTGCTCCTAACTATGGACCTCAATGCCAGAGCCTTTACTGGGCAGCCTAGTGAAGTGGTTCTCAATCTTGGGGGTCGCACAGCGGCGTCACTAGGGGGGGGGGGGTGACACCATTGGAGGAATGACAGTCAATTTGGTGTCACCCCCTCTGAAAAGTTGGGCACTCGGTCATGGCCCAAGAGTCCGACAGTTGCAGGAGAGAGGAGGGAACCCAGCGGCATGCCCTATTCCGCCAGGTGAACGTCCCCCTCCTCTCTCTGCCGGCGCCCATCACCAAGATGGCCGCCGGCAGGTTACAGTGCTTGATTTCACCCTGATGTGTGATGATGGTGGGGTGTCACGTGGTACCCGCTCCCTCAGGACTCACCTGGAGTCACGACACAATTTGCTAGGGTCCTTTCATCCAAGGTCTGTACGCTGTATGGAGTGCAGGTGATTTCGTATTAACAATTTGCTAGGGGTCGCAGTACACTTGTACTTCTTCCTCCCCTCTGCTGAATGGCTATAATTATGCAGGTGCGTGCAGAGCAGAGGATAGTCTCCCCTGACTGGTCAGGTGTCCCTTGCGATGCAGCTGCACCCTCTCACCTCTGGGTGGCCGCTGGGTCCTTGCAGTAGCCCGTTTATTGATTTAAGCCCTCACGGACAGGTCCCTCCTTACCATCTTGTCTTGAATTGTATTGTTTTCCTTACATTGTAAAGAGCTGCGCAAACTGTTGGCGCTATAAAAATTCTGTAAAATAATAATTTGCCAGGCTTCTGTGCAGGACACACAGGCGCGCGGCAGCAGCCTACAGAGAGCGGGGACATGACATCATACCCCCGCCCCTCTTGAGCTGCACCGCCGCCGCACGCCATTGTAAGGCAGCAGAAAGGTAAAAGACTGTCTTTTAGCTTTGTGGAGCTGCGTCACTGCCCGTTTCCTTCCTTCTCCTCTTCAGCAGTTCAGAGAATGCCACAGTACTAAGCAAGTGGCTCAGATCGTGGCTTTATTTGAACTGCTGAGGAGGCGGAGGGATACACGCAGTGATAAGGCTCCGCAAAGATTTCTTCTGGAATATGATCTCAAGGGGAGCCCTGTTGCAGCATGGGTAATTCATTTTTAACATGTGTATACTGTACATTGTACAGTGAAGGAGGAGTGCAATTAATTTTATTAGGGGTGCTCTGATACCAGTTTCTCAGTATCGGAAACAGTGCCGTGAGAGACTGGCTTCCTGGCCAATCAGGAAGATGAGGCGCTGCCCACCTTCCTGATTGGCTGGGAAGCTGGTTTCATGTTCGCCCGTGGCACTGCATACTTGACCAATGAGGAAGCCGGGTGGCAGGTCATGACCCACCACCCTTCTTCCTGATTGGTCAGGAAGCCCGGCTGACTGGCAGTGTGGCAAGGGTGCATGGAATCTCCCTCTGACCGACAGCTCCGGTATCGGAGCATTTGGCCAAGTATGACTACATGCCCAAATGCTCAGTATAGGCACAGATACTAGTATTGGTGCATCCCTAAATTTGCTGACAAGCTGACAAATGTTACCAAGGGGTCCCGGCCCTAGAATGGTTGAAAACCACTGACCTAGTGGGACTAGATGTGCTGCTTGTTGTTATAACCAGGATCACAGTTACATAGTATATAAGACTGAAAAAAGGCACAGGTCCATCCAGTCCAATGTATGTGTGTGTGTGTGTGTGTGTGCGACATTTAATCTCTATAGCTGGCCATAAACTTAAAATGACACTAAAGTCAATCAGAATATCCGAACGGGGCTAGCCGCTAATTGGCTGGCACCTCCATTCAACCAAGAATTTTCCAAGCGGCTCCTTCGATCAGCTGATTGAGGGATGCCAGGTGGAAGGATGTCAACAAGGGCACCCACTGTGCGAATTTTGGCCGGTTTATCAGGAACTGGCCAAAATGTTACCATGTGTGCCCTACTTAATGTGTTACTAAATTCAGGAGTTAAATCTTAAAATTGAATTCAAGTGCCTTAACTATTAACAATAATGTATCGTATTTGTGTATCACTCGGCTGTAGATCCTCAAATCATCTCTGAATTGTTGTTGACACTGTCCTTCCTTGGGGAGGGTGGTCCCTGTGTGTGTTGCAAAGTAGCCACCACTCCAAGCTCACTTCTGTGATGGACTACAATCTTACATTTGCTTTACTAATTTGTATTGAGATTGTAGTCCATCACAGAAGCTAGCTTGGAGTGTGCCAGGTGCTGCATCAGCTTTGCTCCCCCTGTTCCCCTCCCCAATGTGAGCACGCTTCATGGCTATTTCTCCAAGACACTGTCTGCTGTGCTTACATTCAGCTTCCTCAGCAGGCAGCTGTCATTGCTCAGCTAAAGGTATTAAAGTGGAAAGGTGACACTAGGGGTCTAATAGACCCCTAATGTCACCTTAAAGAGAACCTGTCATCTCTAATGTGCTATCACATAGAGGAGCTAAGAAGTTAAGTTAAAAAAAAAAGAAAAAATGTCTAAAAAATAAAGCTAAATAAAATGAAAATGAAGTTTGCATGTTCTCCCTGTGCTTGTGTGGGTTTCCTCCAGGTACCCTGATTTCCTCCCACACTCCAAAGACATGCTGGTAGGTTAATTGGCTCCTGACTAAATTGACTCTGTGTATGTATATTGACCTTAGGTTGTAAGCTTCTTGAGAGTAGGGACTGATGTGAATGTACAGTATGTAAAGCACTACATAAATTGCCGGTGCTATATACTGTAAATACCTGACTGTAATAAATAAATAAAAATAAATTAGTCAACAGTCAAGTCTAATGAATCCCAGTCCCATCACAGATCCCTCACTGCTAACAACTGTGCCATGGTTTGAAGTAATTATTTGGCTTTTTCTAGATGTAAACCTGTCCAGATGTAGATTAATGGATAAAAAATTACCCCATATTTTTTCCATTGCCCAGCATCCAAGGTTTGTGTAGCTTACACCATTATGGGGCTAATTTTCTAAAAGCAAACAAACTGTTCACTTCACAAGGGAATTTTCACTTTGCGTGGGAATTTTCTTATAGCTTACCTAATCACGAGCAAGGAAAATAAATAAGCAATATTTTTGCTTGCACATGATTGGATGATGGAAGTCAGCAGAGCTTCACCTCACTCACTCACTCACTCACTAAGCTAAAGGGAAACCTTTACTGTGAGAATTCCATTGCAAAGTGAACAGTCTAGTTGCCTTTAGTAAATCAACCCCAAGACATCTTTTTAGGTTGAATTTTAATACAAGCTTTTTCCTAGAGAACAACCATAAATTCCAGCTTTGGGAAATGTACAAGGCATAATTTTTGACAATGTGTTGGAGATGTCAGTTTGGTTATTTGTTAAAGTGCAACTCAAAGCAAGCAGCTACAGTAATATTTAAAATGCACATATATTTGTGTTTTACATGTTTAAAGATGTGTGTAGCCAGTGTTAAGATTTCCACAGTCCTGCAACACTGACCATCCTAAAAGATGACTCTACTAGTACTTGGTTCGGCTTGTTCTGCTTTACAGTTTCTTGTCTCACCTACCTCCTCATTGGACAGGGTTTTGATGGCTATTGATTGTCCAGTAAGCAGACTGGAAGCAAAGCGATGACAAGGTGAAAAGCTGAACCAGAATATAGAGAAATACAGTAGAGGTGTGTGAATCATACAACTGCTGAGCTCAATTACAGTGTATTAACTGTATCTGTTTGTCTTGATGTCCACTTGAAAGTTGACACTCAGTGACTACCCTTTAAAAAGCCCCTCTACCCTGTCAGTGAGTTTCATCTTTCAAATATTGGTATTCCTAGCATATGAAGTTTGTTCATATTTGGTAAATGTTATTTTTAGGCTGTTCCTCTTGATACATTCTTAATATGTTGCATTTCTGGCACAGTTTGACTTTGGGACACACATGCTTATATATTCAAATATACTGTATGTAAGAAATTACAGGTTATCAACTA